ATATATATATATATATATATATATATATATATATATATATATATATACATCCTTATAGCCTTCACTGAATGAGTGAAAAGTTGTCTTGAAAGATTTATTGTGTATCTCCTGATAAAATCTGCGCATGGTGTATATATAGATGTATTTTTGACTGAGACCTGTCTGATGTAAGCAGATATCAGTAATTTGACTCTTTGAGAACTGCGTTGTGTAAAGGACTAAAATGTGCCTCTCAGATCTATGGAAACACTGGGCTCTCTAACCTCCTGCTGTGCTATTCCAGCTGGTGCATTAGCACCAGTTGGACTCTGAGCAGTCACAGCAGGTTCACCCTGCATGTATGGAGCCACGTTTGCCTTCCGATCTATAAAAGAGGATTTTCAGAGAGAATCAATAGCTTCAGCATATAACGGAGACTAAATACAAACCCCCGCCTTTAGAAAGTTGGAAAGTTAAGTAAAATGTAAAACGTATGTATTTTAATCACTATTTACAAAAACAAGGGAGTAAATTTACATGTCTTGGTGAGAACAGTGAAAGACATCAATTTAAACAGTAGTTTTGTATTTAATTTAGGAAATCACACTGAAATAAAATGATCTTTCCCTGACCAACAGCAGGCTAATTTATCATCCAGTCAGTCATTATGGATTTGACTGCACTACAAGACAAGTCAAATTTATTTATAAAGCACATTTAAAACAGCAGCTGTTACCAAAGTGCTTAGGAGTTTTTAGGAGAGATTTAAAAGTAAAGAGTGAAGTGGTCTGTCTAATACTGATGGGCAGATTGTTCCAGAGTTTAGGGCCCAAAACTGAAAAAGCCAGATCTCCTCTGAGCTTCAGCCTGGTTTTTGGTACAACCAGCAGGCCAGACGATCTCACCGCTCGAGAAGGAACATGGTTGAAGTAGGTCAGAGAGGTATGAGGGTGCAAGGCCATTTATGGACTTAAAGGTCAACATGAGAATTTTAAAATCAATTCTAACATGCACAAGGAGCCAGTGAAGGGAGGACAAAACCGGTGAAATATGATCAAACCCACAAGTTACAGTTAATAGCCGAGCTGCAGCATTTTAGATGAGCTGGAGATCTGAAAAGGAGACCAGACTGAGCCTAACATAAAGCGTGTTACTGTAGTGCAGCCGGGTTGTAACAAATGAATGGATGATCTTTTTCAGGACAACACAGACATAAGCTCAGCTATCTGCCTTAACTGGAAGAAGCTTTTTAGTAGAACAGAGTTAATCTACTTATTGCACTTAAAAAGTCTAAAACCATCCCGAGATTTGTAACAGACTGCTTAAGATAAGGCTGAAGAGAGTCAAGATTTACAGGATCAGAGACAGCGGTAGAGCTAGGACTAAATACAATGACCTCAGTTTTCTGATCATGAAAACTAAAAACTAAAAATCAATTTGCTGCTGCGACAAATTAATTTCCCCAGGATAAGACCCATTTTTCACCTAGTTTTCAATATTAAACAGACTATTATTTAAACTGTAACTCAAGAGATATATATAAGTGACACATTTCTCAGGGTAACCCTTAAAAAAAAACATTAACAATAAACAAGGATGCAAAACATGTATTTGTGTTAAAACGAATGGCGTCATGACCTCATGGCAGAGTTTAGTTTTCATAAGGAGGACCAAACAGACCCTATCTTATACATTTGGATTAAGTTTGGGTTTCCCAGCAGGCAAACTACATGTTTGCACCACAAGAGAGTATTTGTGCATACATTTTGCTCTGCATGTGTCTGTCTCCTGAGGCAGTGACCTTAATCTAGAGCACAAGGCTGACAAGACTCAGATGAGAGTGACAGAAATGACCTCACACATCAAGACGTAGAAGTATGCACTCGCTCGAACACGCACTCATGCAGATATTTGCAGATTTTGCCTGACTTACCTCTGGAGCTATGTAGTCTGGGGTGCCGCAGAATGTTCGTGTGCTTACGCCTTCTACCATGTTCTCTTTACACATCCCAAAGTCTGCAATCTTAATGTGCCCTTCAGAGTCCAACATCACATTGTCCAACTTTAGATCCCTGAGGAAACCAAGACATTAGAAACAGTCTGATAGTTCCAAAGTCGGTTTTAATGTAGATCAAATCTGGCTCGATTTCACTCTGTTATTTAGTACAAATAAAGTCATGCTGCTTCTGATGTGTTCACAGAAGCTCTAATATAACAACAGAAGCCAGTTGTATTACTGATGTTTGTAAACCAGAGGTTCCCAACTCTGGTCCTTGAGGAACACCATCCTGCACGTTTCAGTTGTTTTCTTCTCAAATACACCTGATTTAGATGAATGGGTGAGAGGCTTCTGCAGAACTTGAGGAAGTAATTAAATCACTGAGGTGTGTTGGAGCAGGGAAACAACTAAAACACGCAGGATGGCGTTCCTCAAGGACAAGGGTTGGGAGCCCCTGTAATTCATACGTCTTGTACTGAATACAAATGGGTTTTTGGAAAGAAAGAATTTGCACAACTTAAATAATCTTCAAAACATTTGGAAAACAAATCAGGTCTGTAAAGGAGTGAAGTTGAAATAAAAAAAGGTAACATCTGAGATAAAACTCAATTATTAGGAGCATTCCTTTTTAATGACAGTCATTTTGATTTATTATCACTGTTTTATGATATATTTGTTCTGATTCTTTCCTTGTGAGAGCTGATGGGCTTTTGACCTCGTGTTTTTATTTTTATTTACTTATTTTACATCTGCAGGTTTCTTTCCCCTAAGTTGCAGAATCAATGGCTTATTGATTTTTACTATTTTTTTCTTTTCGTCCGTTTTTTGTCATGTCAAGTCCAGATCATGTTTGTAAATGAGAACTGGTTCTCAAACATTTCACCTGATAAAATAAATGTAAAATCAATTGTGATTCTAAAATAAAAACAACATTTTGAAAAGATTTAGTTTCCCTGTTTCATTGATAAATGTCTTATTTTCGTGTTAATTTCACATGAACTTCTTTGCTGCTGCTCTCATTGTTGTGTTTTTTTTCTGGTACAAATTTATTGATACATACAGAAGATTAACAAGGTGAGCATATTCATCTATTTATTACTAAAGGTATAGGTGGAATGCTTTGCAACAAGCATTACACTTTGCCAAAAAGAATGTTTATAAAAGAGAAAACAGCTTTATAAGATCACATATGTACACTTCTGCCATTACATATGAATGCCGTTTTAATAATAAAACTATATGTATTTAATGCATGTGAACCCCAGGTGTTTTAAATTATTATACTTTAAGAGCACTCACAACTACCGCAGAAAATAAAATAATATTTATACATATTAAAAAGGTTTTGGTTGTTAATTTAAAAGTAATCACAGTTATTTCATTTGTTGTACAGTGTTCAAAGAGTTTATGGAGTTTTAACCATGTAAACTTGTTAATACACACCTATAAATGACTCCCTTACTGTGCAGGAAGAAGAGACCAACACCGACCTCTGCTGCATAGAATCTGCAATACAAATACATTTACAACAAAGAAAAAAACTATCCTTAACACACAACAGGAAAAAGATATAATAGCATATGTTGAAGCATAGCTGAAACACAATGCTGTTCTTGGCTGTAAAAATGAATTGAGACAGCCACTCAATAATAAACTAATTTTCCTTACACTGCTTGAGGTTCCTTGAACTTGCCCACTTGTTGGATGTGGTACATTAGGTCTCCACCGTTTACATACTCCATGACAAAATACAGGCGGTCCTGTTGTGAAGAGAAACATATAAGAGAAGATTTGCTAAGGTAGGTCAAATCAGATAGTTCTCTATGACTTTAGTTCTCTCTTGTAAATGAGTCCTCAAGGCTCAATGGGATTAACCTGTCTAAATAAAGGTTGAATGGAAAAATTAAAAAAAAAACTTAATGTAAAAGAAAGCATCAAAGTTCACAAAAAAAGTGTAAAATTGTATAAGATTTCATTTAACAAGTTAGGTCTTCTGGATGGATTCTGTTTTTGTTAAAACAAAGAAGAACAAAGAAGTTTGTGGCTCCTTGGACTGAAGAAGTCCTTTGGATGAAGGACGAAACATCTCAGCAAACAAATAAACCATCCAGATGACCTGATTGAGCATGGTTGGATTTGCACCTGGATTACTGAGCATGAACTTTGATGTCTTTGTTAAAACGTTTCGTCTTTTTATCCACAAGACTTTTCAGTTTCAACAAAGAAGAAGTCATCTAGAGCAGTGGTTCTCAAACTGGGGTCCTGGACCCCCGGGGGTCTGCAAACCGGTGCTTCGGGGTATGCCA